ACGCTCTTCGGTGAATCAGCCCGACGACCGATAAAGCTTGTGAAATCAACTGTATCATTTAGCGGTCAAAATTGGCGTGAGAGTGAGGTGAATGACCTAGAGGTGTCGGATCAGACTGTTCGCGGCCAGAGCTACTGAAGGAAGAGCGTTAGCAAATTATGTTATTCAGAGTAGGGCCTCGGTGTTTGAATGCAGTTAAAAGTCACAAAGGTAAGTAAGACTATGCCAGAAGCCATACGTTTCACTGAACGGGTCGGTATGTTGCTTGAACAAATGCACGTTTTTAGACTGAAAAATGAGAGCTGGAGCTGCCGGTAAACGGGGCTGAGGACGGGCCGTTCGATCACGCGTATTAGTTTGAGAAGGCGAGTTAAACTGGTACAGAAAGTGACGATACTTTGAGTTGGCAGTGTTGGAAGAATCGAAAAGCGAAGAACTTCGGCCCAGATTAACGATTTCAGTGCCACAAAATGATAAAGGCGTGGTTTACAGGTCACAGTCAAGATCGGGAGTAACAAATCCTTTTGTGTATTCCACCATCAAATTGTTCGCGTGGCAGCTTAAACAAATGTGACCGAGTGTCTAGCGAAGAGTAACAGTTATGTATGAGTAAGTAGGTACGATAAGATAGGGTACTGGAGGATTGGACTGCACAGGATTAACTTGCGTAGGGCAGAAGGCGAAGTGTCTGGGCGTTTGGGTGTGTGAGGAAATAAGGGCGCTGGATAGCCAAGACGGCTGGTGGGTTTGGGCGTTGATAAATGACTGCCAACGGCCGAAATCACAGTGCACTAAGGCCACGAGGGACAAGCATGCCATTAGACAAAAGAAGTTATGCATTTGTATGACTTCCCCCAGGCACTTCGGAGAACGGTTTGAGAGGCATGCTATCGAGAGGTCAGAGAATAGATGCAAACTAGGCGCGTCGTATCGTGAAATTCGGAACACATATAGTGCCGGCAATAGGGACAGGCGGGTGAGCGCAGTAAAACACCAAATAAGGACTAGAAACTTGGAAATGTGTATAAATGGATTTGTGAGACAACAGATACGCTTCGAGGCGATGAATCATCGAGAAGGATATAATTGTTGACTGGTACTAAGCAATTCGGATTGGTGAGCAATCCGTGTAGAGAACGGTGTTCTCCTGATTCGCCAAACACGGTGTATGAAAAAGGGGAAAAATTAAAAATCGAGCGAAAACAATCGAGAGGCGGTGGCTCTTGGCGAGCATCACCATTTACCAGTAGGTGTAACCAAATTAACCAAGTTGCTGGGAAGAGAATATTGGGGAAAATGCAGGTAAATCTTACCTTAAGTTCTTACTGGATGGGTTCGAAATACAGAAAGGATTGCTCTAAGTGTTACGAACTTGGTGCACTTTTAAACAAACCACCTCTATGGAGAAATGAGGTGCTTCAGAAATGCAGAGCATTTTTCCATTCTTCTTGACAAGATAGGCACAATATGAGCACAAAACATTTAAGTACAAGCAAAAGTTAACCTTATGCAGACATTAACAAAAGTAAGGGAACCAGTCCTAGAAACCTGGGCACCAACCAATGTGCTCTTCAAAAGCGCACGCTGAGGACTTGAAGATTACTTCCCGGGTGCCATGAACAAAGTAACGCACTGCTGAAATACCTGCATCTATCATCAGAAAATATTGAGCGCTTATATGTTTTTTCCATCCCGTTAGGATCATGCATCGATACATGGGATCGAAGATTTCACCCAGGTTTCTCGTGTCAGGCTTGTTCTTGTCATCCTGCGGCCAAAATTATTTGCTTGTGGATAAAACATAAAATGGATTAACAGGCGGCCAGATGCTCGTATCCTCGAAGAGACTGTTAAGCGGTTCCTGGTGGAGGAATCAACTGAAAAATTTTATCCACTCTTTGCTATTGTTCATCGGCCTTCCAGCCTGATTGCTGCGAGTTTCGAGTACCGTCGTTTTGGGCAGAATGTTACAGAGATACCTGCAGGGACCAGCTCGGGCTTCTGTTTTGTACACATACTGAACATCTGGAGTACAATAAGGGTTTGAATTAATGTCGCCAGTTTCCAGACGATCTGGGTAGCCAAGAAACGAACTAGGTTAATTGTTAGAGACGACTGGTGATGAAATAGCGCGATTATTCGAAAATAATCACATGTTCTCGTAGTCTAAGTGCGGTCTCAGTCCACGCGAACGCGGAGTACTTCAGGCATGGAGTTACTCACATATAGAGCTTTTTTAATGATATTACTGTGCATTGGTACTATAAACCAGTTCTCCCAGCGGATCTGTCTGAGCATGGCAATTGTTTGCATGACAAACCATACGGCCGTGTCGTTACGGGACCAGGAAGCCACAAATCAAGAAGCTGAAAGACGTAATAGAACACACTGCGCCGCGTCACAAAGTCGGTTTTCAAATAACAGCGTAAGTTACCAGGTTCTGTCTTCCCACTTCGGTGGGTAGACGCCATCATCGTAAATAAATTGAACTAGTGCTTTTATATTCCCAAGTGTTCAGAGGTCGACAAATACAATAGTTGCTCTGCGAGTGTATCCAAGTCATCTTTGTCTATGGGATCAGAAGCATGAGCCAAGAAAATGCAAAAGCTGCTCCGCGGCGTAGCTGATTTTGTCTTGCTGTTTTTCCCACGCGGGACGCACAAACACCAGAAGACTGTATGGAGTACTTCCTACAAGAAGTGACCCAAATCCACGCAGACGTCTGCGTATGGTCATGTTCAAATGGCTACCCGACCTGCTTATCTCCGTAGGCCTAATAGGATTGATAGAACTGTGTGAAGTACTAGATATTTTCTTCTTACTGAGGGTAGCAAGTTATGATGGTATGTTTTTAGAACTTTTTATATGTTTATTGGGGTCAACCTGTACTGAATCTCCGTCTGTTAACCTTTTGCTGTTCCTCAGATTGCAAGAATGATGCTGCAACATATCTGGGTATCTTGTTCTGCTACAATTCAGCTTAAATGGCTTGTGATTCTAGGCGTATAATAAAATGAAAATTTCGCATCTACCTCCTTTCTAGTAGTTTTCTTGCTGACGATATCTTTGCAGTCTGACGGCAGCGTTGTGGCCTGTTGGCTGTATTTTTGTGCGAAGGAGGGCATCCGTGTTTAAATGCGACTCCTCAGACTGGCGGGGTCAAGCAGCGCATGAGAATTCGTATGTATCATCACCAATGGGTCAATATTGGGGTTTTACGTTTTATGGTATCTCCACTAGGATCTCGTGTTTGGGTATTATATTGGGTCTGTGGGTTGTACTGTGTTGTCTCTTTGGGCTAGCTGATGGTGCAATCATACCCATTATGTTGGCTATGATGCACTTTTCTTTAACACTGGGGCTGATATATGTTCGGCACCTACTGGGGTATCCGTTTGGTGCTCCACCGTAGATGGGCTAGACTTTTCATTTAGATTGTTAGTTGGATAATAGACGGAACGGAGGTATTGTTAGCCCTTTTATATTTCTGCTTATTTTTTGCGGGTGGAGAGTGCACCGCAAGTATACTACAGGCGTTTATCAGGTGTATCACCACCGATCGGTGAGCTAAGTGGACTCAAACCTTCATTTCCGTTTGCTGTCAAATTCTGATCACCTCTAGGTTTCCGCTACTCTGAAATAGGTTTGAAAGCAGCGCCGTTCTCGACAGATGGTTATCCGGCATGCGCAACACGTGACCGAAAAAGCTTAGTTCACACTTTTGAATGCGATTCTGTAGTGAAGTTTCTTCTACTATTCTGGGCACCCTCCTCATTGTTGCCTCATTACGACATTGCAGAGGAAGCCGGCATTCAGCCCATTTGAGCCTCGCTTACGAGAAATCAAGGGGTTGCGATGTCTCAGTGGTTAGATTGCAAATTTGCCGACAAGAAGGTGCGTTGTTCGAACCCGACCTATGTCTCTCAACTTCCCCTCCTTAGGCTTGGGCAACCTGGCAGTATCTCAATATCCTCGTGCTTCGTTCTAGTGGCATTGCAGCTAGGCACCGAAAGGGTGTCACAGCTAAACCCTCATATATTATTTATCTACCAGGAGTCGAAGGCCGGAAGATGTTTCAGATCCTCTATTTGCAATGACCAAGCCTCGTACGTGTACAATTATACATTCCGCGTGTTTTCGGTTGTGTTACGGGTACTCCATTGAAGACCGTATCCAGCATCAGAAGCTGCGTTGGTTGGGACATGTGTTGCGTATGCCGAGCCATTGTTTGCCGAAGAGAGTGCTGTTTTCCATG